TCACAACAGAAAAAAAAACCAAAGTGTCTAGATAACTAAACATATATACATATAAACAGGAAGAGAGAGAATGCACTAGAAAGAACAAGTGAGCTATTTTTATTTCTTTCTATTGAAACTCACATAAATCAATATATACAACTGCCTGTTAAACCATCCCTGCAAAAAATTACTTCCAGATGAATCAGCAATAGAGGTGTGAATAAAGTAATTCACCCACATCAATAAAATGTGAGCTTCAAAATTTGTATTCAAAACATCTGAACACCAACATTATTAAAGTAAATCTGTTTTAAAATTGTACAAAGAACAATTCTGAAATGAGAAAAGCTTAGCACAGCCCCTTCAGAAAGAAAGGCTACGGCCTTTTCTTTCTGACTCCACTAGTAGAGCTATTTTCCATGAGCCATACAAAGGTCCTGGTGCAAGCCACAGCTGTGGATGCACCCAGGTGAGATCAATAACCTTGTTAGTACAGTGACAGGTGACAAAATGTGTGTGTTTGCTTTGCATTGAAAAGGACACATTTTTTCTCAAGGCTATTTGCTCCTCTCACCTAAGGTCCTGAGAGCACTAACTTTGTAACACTGTTGGATCTGTTGGGAAGAGATTTACATGGCTAGGAAGAAGCTTTTATTAGAAGAACTTCAATATACCAGGTCTTTCCCACCTCTGATGATGACAAAAGATGAGACAAGGAGTCGCTGTAACCCCTGAGACGCGTAAAAGGTATCATTACAGATGCTGCCCCATAATCAGAGAAATCTCCCCTGCAGGTTCCTTTACTCAGTTCTGTCTAGTCCATCCCATGTGTTCCCTTCACCTTCACTAGGCACAAGGGGTGAAAACCCACAGTTAAGTTCCCAGGATCTCTCCACCTACTTGTCTGCTACACCCAACTTTGTGATATTTCCAGATCTGCAGTGTAACTCATTTTGAATGTTAACTCTGCTGCATTTCCAAATATCACTGGACAGTCACAGAGAAATGGGCACAACTTCCTGAATTCACCTGAAAACTGCCAAAGCAGGAAGTTTTCATATGGAGAAAATCTCCCAATGAGACTGACTTTCTCCCATTCTACTACCTGACTGAAGTCAAGTGTAAGAATAGAGATGATAGGCTTCCTATATTATAATCAAAGGACATTACAATTTCTTTAGGACATACACAGATCTCTACAAGAGAAACTGCATTACAAGATGCAAAAGGCAGTTGAGGCAGATCTAGTGAGTATGCAGAACATGTTAGTGGTTTTAACAGGATAGCACCATTCATCAATCTAGAATAAGCACTTTCTTCATTCATTTATCAAATTGAGCTTCCAGAGACAGAAAAAAACTCTGAAATACCTTACAAAGAGAGAACCCACACAGGAGGAACATGCCCCTCCCTCTCTAAAGGCCAGTGGAAAACGAAAGGCATGGCCGCTAGAGATTAGAAAACTAACAGGAAACAAAGGAGGACAATCCCACATTCATTAACTTTTCATCTTTTATTAAATTTCGCTAACTCTTAAATCAGCACCTGACACCATACTTGGAGAATTCATGTCTTTTTCCTCTGACCTTCTGGAGCTGAGAAATGTGTACTCTGTCTACCTTAAGAGTATCAGAAGATGCCTTCACACATTCAGTTTCTTCCACGTGAATGCATCTTCTATGCTGCAACTGTTGGCTACTATGCCAAATATAGCCAGGTAATAACAGGATCCTAACTCTGCATATATGCATATCACATGCAAAATACAAAAACAAAGTGAAGTTTCATAGGCCATATTATTTTGTATGAATTAGCTCAAAACATATCTAAACCATGGAATATCACCCAACAATCACCTGCTGGAAATCACCACTGACTTTGTTCACAGTGATTTCCTTCCTGTTAAATGAATGAAATTCAGACTATGGATAATCACCATGGATAATCCTTAATTGAATGAGACATTCTCTACCATAATTTATACACAATTTTCAACAGGAGCTTTTTCCTCTGTATTTGCAGAGATTTCCTGAGGGAGAGATTGATGCTAATTCTTTTTGTTTTAAAAATGGGATAAAACTATTTCCAATGCCTCACCTTCAAAATCCAAGGGGTAGGTCCTGAAATGAGTTAAACTTTAAAGTTGTGAAATTAAGGAGAAGAAACACCAAGTATTTTTTCACTTGACTTCCCTGGAACAATGTTGGCTAGAGCTCAGGGTGGGGGCAAGGAGAGGTGAATTTTTATTACATGTTAAATGCCTGTTTTGTTTTGTGGTACTATGGGGAAGAATAAAAAGAAACACTGGAAAAGATAAAGCCAGACTATGAAACCTGGCCACACCATGATTCTATTTTCATGTTTTTATGCCTCAGCAATTAGCTTAGAAACCTAAAGAAAATACTCTCTGGCACATACTAGGCAATACTTTCTCTAAAAACATCTGGTGTTTAGTCTACAAATATCAATACAGAGAAGAAGCAGTTGAAAGACACACAGTGCCTCCATTCAGGAAAACAAATTCAATGTTTCAGGGTCTTGTTTGTTGGTTTTTTTTTGAACAAAACAAGTTTTGTTGCATTCAACAAGACAGACAACTACTCTTCATCTAAAACCTCTGCATTCCCTGGGACCTCTTCCAGTGGTGATTATCAAGACTTTAATTTCCTATTTGAGCATGTCAACTCCTGCAGTTATTAGCTCCTGTTTGTAAATAAGCACCATGATTATAATGCCTAATCATAGAATCATGGAATACTTGAGGTTGGAAGTGACCTCTGGAGAACATCTTGTCTAAACATCCCCCTCAAAGCACAGCTAAGTTCAACAAATTGCTCAGGGCCAGTTGTGTTTTGAATATCTCCACAGATGGAGACTCCACAAGCTCCCTGGTCAAAGTGTTCCTGTGTCTGATCACCCTGAAGTTATAAACATACAAATAGCTTTTAAATAAATATTTTTAAATTTCTTTCTGTATCCACTGCCTCTTGCCTCTTCACTGGATACCACTGAGAAAAGCCTAGATCCTTCTCTTTAGTTCCTCCCACCAAGTATTTATAAACAGTGATAATATCCCCTTGAGCCTTCTCTTCTCCAGGCTGAACAGCCATAGCTCCTTCAGCCTTTTCTCACAGGAGAGCTGCTCCCATCCCTTAATAATCTTCAGGGCCCTTCAGCAGATGCTCACCGTTGTAGCTGTGTCTCGCCCTGGGGAGACCAGGCCTGGACACAGTACTCCAGATGTATCTCACCAGGCTGAGTAGAGGAGAAGGTCCACCAGGACCCCTGGTTCTTTTACTGCCAAGCTGCTTTACAGCCAGCTGGCCCCCAGCAGGTACTGGTGTGTGTAGCTGTTCCTCCCAAGCGCAGGACCTTGCACTTCTCTTTCTTGAACTTGACAAGATTCCTGCTGGCCTGTTTCTCCAGTCTGTCAAGGTCCCTCTGGGTGGCAGCACACCCATCCAGTCCATCAGCCACTCCTCCCAGCTTTGTGTCATCTGCATACTTGTTGCTGAGGGTGCTCTCTGCTCCATCACTGAGGTCATTTATGAAGAGTCTAAGTAGTACTGGTCATAGTATCAGCTCTGAGGTACAACACTAATGACAGGCCTCCAGATGAACATCCTGTTCCTGATCACAACCGTTTGAATGAGGCAATTTAGCCAGGTTTCAGTTCACCCCACTGTTTACTTATCTAGTCCATAATCGTCAGTTTGTCTACAATGATATTATGGGAGACACTGCTTATACTTGCAATAAACAACATTCTCAGCTCTCCTCTCATACACCAAGACAGTCATCCCATAGGACTATTAACTTGGTTAAGCATTATTTATCCTTCATATAGCCATGCTGATGACTTCTGATCCCCTTCTTCATTATGAGGTGATTTTCTCTCACATTTAACATGCCATTTCCAGCCAGAAGTTACATTCCTGTGATTCAGATTTGGCTCTCTAAGGACTTTCTAGTTGGCAAAAGTGAGAAAAGTTGATCCAAATGAATAAAAACTGTGAATTCAGTTCAACCCTTGTGTGTTTTAATTTAATGTGGGACATCAAGTTAACAGAGTCAAGGCATCACATAATCACTCAGTAGGGATGCATAACACAAATAACAAGATAGTCTGAAGTAAGTATGAACGGAAGTGTCTGCACGCAAAAGAACCAGCAGAAATATTACAGAGAACAGCTTATAAGAATGGCATGTATTGATAAGCAAGAACACGAGTGACAGCAATGAAACTGACATACAATGAGAAATGTCCTGCTACACCTAGACTAGAAAGCCAGTACTCTGGTGGGATCATACTAGAGATGACCAGGCAGTCAGAGACCCGCAACAAAGCTACAGCATGTCACCTCTGCCAACAGGAAGCCAGGATGGAAGCCACAGAACCACCCGCAATGAGGAAACAGAGACAAAGGACAGCAATGACAGGCTGAAGCCACCAAGCTTCTGAGGGAAAAAGACCACACCGTAAGAACTGTCTGACTCCTAAAAAGCAGAAAAAAAATTGTCTAAAAGACAGTTTATTGTCACTAATTAAGAGGAACTCAAGAGACACAGTGAGAACTTTATAGCCACTGTCCCTCATCCTCATCATACCCAATACTTGTGGTCCAAATATTCAAAGTACCACAATCTTGGATCAAGCAGAACATAAGTTATTCTGTCTTGATAAGCTTGATATACAAACAAAACTAAGTTTCTACCCGAATATAATCATCAGTTAGTGAATTAGTAAGTTCTGATAACTCAGTTTGATCCCACATCAGTTTTCTATTTCAAATTTTTAGCTAGTACCAAAGCAGACAGAGGGAAAACCTCAGAGCTTTACTTTCTTTAAATATAAAAAGTGCGTGCATGCATGTATATATAAATATACAAACATTTATAAAAATAAAGTAATGATTTCATTACTTTACTTTCCACATGCTACTGCCATTCTTAACATTACACATTACTTTTCCTGTAAAAAATCCAGGTGACTGAGAAGAAATGAAGACCACCCTTACCTTAATGTTGCAGGCTTGTTCCATCAGTCTTCTGGCGTTCTCTTCAGCTCTGTACCTCTTGGGCAACTGAACCCTGAAGAATTTTAAAGCTCCTTCAAAATCAGCTTGTAGAAGGTCCTCTTTTGAGGTCTGCAATTAAACACAGGGAACTACAGTAAACACTGAGAACATGGCAGTCATGCTCTTTTACCAGATTTGTCATTTACTGAATGTATTCCAAACCATCAGTATTCTCATTAGCTCAAAAATGTTATCCTTGAAATCAGCTCTCTAACCCCCATCTCATAAAACAAAATAGAGGTTAAAGCATATCCAAGGAATCCCAGGCAGAGCAGCACAATCAGAGGACTGTAACACATTACTCTATTTTATCTTTCTATACCTGCAGGATAAGAAAGGGATTCTGGCTCAGCCTGTCAAGATGTCACTCAGTGAAGAAAAAAACAAAACCCAGGCAAACAATAAAAGCCTAGGAAAATTTGTAATATTTTCTAGAGATCGTCTGCATTAGATCACTGCTGATTCTCACAATGCTGCCCTAAAAAGACAATGTATATATAGATATATATGGTTGCAGACATGAACAGCAAAAGCAGAAATGCATATGACTCATAAAAGGCATCAGCAAGTCAATGTGCAGAAGTCTGTGACACAGTTTCTCAAAGAACACTGTGCCAGAAAATGTTTTACATGCTTATTTCTACATCTCTCATAACACTGTACCTCTCAGTGTGGTATCAAGCCTAGCAGGTCAGAAAATGTTAAACATTCAACACTAATCCAGTTCTGCTACTGATGGAGTAATATGATTCACAGGGAAAAATGTATTCATCTTTGGATTTGCCAAGAACTACATGAAGAGATTTAGCAAATATGAAATACCAAGCCTTGGTACTCCTTTAAAAGGTTCACAGAAAATGAATGTCCAGACAAGACATTTAGGACACCATGTCAAAAATGTGAATGTCAAGATCTTTAACCCAGAAAGAGCGAACAAAGATGACTAGGCTCATGAAGACTGGCACTGTGTATCAAAGTATTATTACAGATACCTCAGAAGCAGCACAGGTACCTCAGGTTAAGGTTAATTGCTGAACTAATTGCTCTAGTACCACTGCCAACACTTCGATGTCTGCATCCTTTGCCTTCTCATGAGTAATACTGTCATTTTTTGCCTTGGTATACACAGCAGATACACTACATACACAGTTTCAAAGTTTGATTCCTAACTATATTGTCAGCCACTCAAAATCCTTTCTGTCTCCAATTTTCAGATTATCTTTCCATAAAACACACTGCAGCCAAACACAAAAGATCCGGCTCTACACAGAGAGAACTGGGGAAAACCGTGCAGCCTTTGACATGCAAGAGCTGAGGCTCAATTACACTATTATTTCTCTTGGGTGTTAATTATCACTGAAATGCAGATAAAATTTTACTTTTATTTATGAATCCTCCTTCTGCACCCCACAAACTAGCATCACCAGTCTATTTACATGAAAATAATTATGTCTGCTATGTAAAAGCCCTTCTCAAAGTACAGACAAAACTGAACTTCAGTATGGTGCTGCATATATGTAACAGTAATATTCAAAACCCAGCTCAATATATTCCACATTTCTGCTGAAAATGCTACAGCCCCCTACCCAGAGAGTCTATCAAAAATAGTAATTTGGTGGGGGGAAAAGAGAAGGATTTTTGAAGGGATTTTAAGTTATGTACCAAACTTGGTACAGCCACAGAAGTTAAGGGGGTATTTTCGTGGGTATCCGATATCTCTGACAATGGAGAGCTTGAGCAGACATCAGAGATGTGCCACCACAACACTGCTAATCATCACTGCTGTGCCCAATCTTTCACTTTGGGAATATGCCTAGCAGTATTTCCTTTGATGTCCTCAAGAGTCCATAAGGATAAAATTTACGTTGTGCATGTTTACCAATCAACCTGTGTATTTCTGGAGATAATTATACTGTGTACCCTAACAGGCACTACTGTGGTAGTTTTTGATACATCAATCACAAGGAAAGCATAAGAAAACTCCAAATACAACTAAAGTAGCTTCAGCACATTCATTTCTGCAGGACTGCAGCATTCTTAATATAGGCAACTTTCTGTCATCAAAATCGTTAGAGTTCTTCCAAGATCTATTTGATCCTCCCTTCATTTGCAGCCAAGGAAGCTGCTGGGTCATCACTGCAGGGACACAAAAAAAGCTTGCCTTCAGGATGCTGATGAGAAATGCTCAGCTTTAAAAACTATCACATCTGATTCTGTCCACAAAAATTTGGCAGAAGGACTATATGGCTGAGACTCAATCTGACAAGACCAGTGTACTGTTGACAGAAATCTGGTGCAGTTCAGTATCTAGTGAATCAGATCCACTCATGAATGCAGCTATGGCCAACACACCTGTTTCCTCAATCCTATTTCTCCTGCCTGAGTTTTACTGAGGTTAGATAAGCTTTTGCCAAACTTGAGACTAGATCACCGTTTCATCTGCACAATGGGCTGTATTTAGGATTATCTGCAAGTCGTAGAGCATGGTAGGAGCAGCTTGTCGCACGGGCAGCACACAGCATCACTGCCAAAACCCGTGCTGGCAGCCAAGCTGCTGCTGGGCAAAGTTCATCTGGGTAATGCTGATCAAAAAGCAGTAAATGGCTCAATAACCAGCTTACCTGAAAGCCATTTCTCTCCTTCCCACTCAGAGATGTTGACAGCTGTGATCACTATAAAATTCAAACAGATTTCCCTATTATATTGTAAATTTGCCTTCTTGTGAGACAAGCTCTCCTGCATTTCCAGTACCCTCCTCTTCCTCATGCTATGGCAGCCTCTACCACCCTCCTCTGAAACATGGCCCCAGACGCAACTCTGACACCAAGAGTAAAGGAATACCAGCCAATCTGTAAATCCATTTTGCTGCTGTTGGTGATTTTACACAGAAGGTGCTCAGATAACTGCAATGCTCCAACACAGGCTGGCTGGTACATGCTTCCAATAGTGTGGGAGGGTGTTTTCAATTAAGACTTCTGGACAGTTGCTCCCAGCACAAAACAAACACCAAACACACTTTTTCACAAAGTTTTAGCATTTCAGTAGAAGCTGAGCTATCCTAATTCGAAGCATGTATTCTTCCTAGAGGTCCTGACTAGGCATTTTGATTTTGTATTTAATTTCTTTTTCTTAAATTAATATAATTCATTGAGAGTTTGGGAATTTTTTAGAAATCTGAGGAGAAAAAAAACTTTTAAAACTTTTTTTTTAACCTGCCAAACCTCAGAAAAGCATATGCACCCACCCTTCATGTCCATAGAACTTCATTTAAAAATAAATACCAAAAAAGACAAAGGCATGTACATCAGAAAATCAGCCATTACATGTAAAAAATTTAAAGTTATATTAATACTTCTAGGCTTCTGCTTGAATTACTGTTATAATAATATTTTAACAGCCCCCAACAAACTACTCATTAAATTATAGCTTGAGAATTTTGAGTTCTCAGTCCTGAAAGATCTTTAGTCAATGGAAATCCCATAAGAATAATGGCAAATCATGGAAATAAAACCCATCATATTGTATAATTTGATAAAATGAGTGGTAGAGCCTATACTGTTCAGCTCTACTTTGCTGAATATTTCAATTTCATAAAAATAATCTGTTGATCAAAAAATTAGTTTCAGTACTAAAACCACAAAAAATCTAAATAACATTTTGAGAGCAACAGGAAGCAACATAAAACTGTTGTGTGCCTACATATCTAGATAGAGACATATGCAGTACACAAAAAAAAAAAAAGTAAAAAATAGCAATGTCGGCATTCTGAGATTCACATTTCATGACATTTTGTGATTTTAATCAATAAATCATAAAGACACCTCAGGAATCTTTTGGCAGCTGTCTGACAGGCAGAGATTTGTAAATTCATTGGTTTGCATCACTCAGCTTGTGGAACTCATCAACAACTTATTTCACAAAACCATCTCTAAGTTTCTTGAACCAAAAATTAAAGTTTGGCAGGTGCATTGCATTTTTCTGCACCCTGGGACTTCAAGGTATCTTTTATTATTCTAGAGGTAGTTTTCAAATAATCATATTTTTAGTTAAAATACATTTTTAAAAACAGGAAAAAGAGGAAATTCAGTGAGAACTGTGACCAAAAGTCTCAGTTTGCCTTTTAGGGTTCAACTAAATAAGCCCTGAAATGTCCTTCCCACATTGCTTAAGTATTTCAATGTATTCTTAAAATTATCTTATATGGATGAGTTGAAACCAAGGGAAAGCCCTTTCCCACAAGTACTAGCAAAGCTTTCAGATCTAAAGGTAAAGTTCTGAAAAAATGCTTTTGTCCAGAAAACAGGAGCAGAATTTCATTTAATTTTATTTAATTTTATTTAATTTTATTTAATTTTATTTAATTTTATTTAATTTTATTTAATTTTATTTAATTTTATTTAATTTTATTTTATTTTATTTTATTTTATTTTATTTTATGTAAATAATGGTGCTACTGCTTTCCCCAAAATACTTAGGAAATGTGATTAAGACAAAAGACAAAGCCTTTGTTTTTTTCTTTAATTTCAATTATTAATTCTGCAGACTCATTTATTACTGACTGTATCATCTAAAACTTCTATTCCCACCTGGGAACTAATACGGCAGAAGAAATTTCAGATCAACCACACTACCTTTGCTTAATTTCATTCTTCCTCCTCAGATAAAATTTATCAATTTCTGTGGAATTCTATGTATACAGTATGTATATTTAGAATTCCTACAGAATGTCAGTGAGCATAATCTCCCTGTTTAACACTTTAATAAACGTGGTCAGGAACAAGGCCAATTTAAAGGCTGAAAAGAATCTAACCATACTCTACTCCACTACTTAATTTGCTACTGGCAAATTCAAAATGTTTACTAGTATCCTCACACTAATTTCTCAAAACGTAGTATTTATAACACACACAGTGTGGTTCCAACTTCTTTTAAGAAGATACGGAATGTAAAATCAAGGTATGTGAGCTATTTTTTCTAACCCGATAGCTCCTTTTCTGCTGGCAGTAACAAGACTGCAATGCTGCACATTGCACGACTTTACACTGCTGCCCTTAAATACAAGCCACAGA